AGAAGTAGGGGGTGAAATAGTCCCCGATACCAGTCGACAGGACCGAAGGGGTAGGCCAACACCCTGATATGCTAGGCTAAGTACCGGTCGACAGGACCGAAGGGGTAAGCCAACACTCTGATATGATAGCCTAGGTACCGGTCGATAGGACTGAAGGGGTAGGCTAGCACCCTGATATGCTAGGCAAGTTACCGGTTGAAAGAGACCGAAGGGGTAGTCAGTACCTACATATGTTAAACTGTATGTGTTATGTATGGTATGTGGTATGATGGGGGAACTCACTAAGCTTTGTGCTTACAGTTTTCAGTTTTGTTTTCAGACACCTCTTCATCGAATGAGAAGGATCCGACACGGTAGCAACACATCACGCACACACAAAATTTCCGCATTATGAGATTATTGGGATTGTACTCTGCCATTATTACTATTTTATGATATGGTTTTGAGACACGTGACTACGTTTTATGAAATGATATGAATCGATGATATTTTTCAGTAAACTGTTTTATAAGTTACTTAATTAAAAACAAAATTTTTGGTATTGAAAATTAGGATGTTACAAGTTGGTATCAGAGCCTTGGTTTGAGGGATTCATGCACACTCGCGGGTGTATTTGGACTCAAACTGAGGAATTTGAAAAGAGAAAAGAACTTTGAAAAGAACAAGGTGTGTGATGCCACCATCACCATTGTCGTCACCACCACCACTACCATTACCCACTACCACTACCAATGTCATCACCCACCACCACCGTCGCCACCACCACACCACCGCTAATAACACTACCACCACCACCACTACTAACACTGCCACCATCGCCGCTACCACCACTGCCACCAGCCGCCACTGCCACCCTCAACACCATCACCGCCGTCGCTGTCGCCACCAGCTGCCACTGTCACCATCACCACCACTTCTACCACCACAATCAATGTCACCGCCACCATCACCACCACGGTAGCCGCCACCATGACCGCCACCCACTATTGTCGCCGCCACCACCGCCACTGCCCCCACCACTACTGCCACAATCGCTGGAATTTTACTGTTTTTAAGCAAAACAGTCAAAAAGGGTAATTATGTCATTTTACATGAATTCCAATTCCATTTCCTGCGAACCAAACAAAATCTAGAATTAATTCTAATTCCATTTCCTGCCAACCAAACAGCATATGAAATTGGATTCAAATTCCTGACAGATTCCTTTTCCAATTCCAATTTATTCAGCAACATTCTGCCAACCAAAGAGCTACTTTTTTTTGACTATCCAATTTAATAAAAAGTGTCAAACCTCTTATTATCAATATTAATAATGCTTTTTGGATAGTTTAATAATTTGTTAAAGAGTATAATATGAAAAATAAAATTTAATGATTTTTTTTTTCAAAAACAAAAAAACAAAAAAAACTCATTTTGCCATTCCACTAAATAGCGTAGTAAATACGTTCCAACTCAGTTTTGTTTTGGTATATTTTACAAGAGATCTGTCCTGTCCTAAATACAATCGGAGGCGAAGCAACCAAAAGATCTGCTGCTATGGCGAGTGCTGCTGCCGGAGGGAAAGTGTCGTTCAAGGTTATTCTGACCTCCGATCCGAAGCTTCCTTTCAAAGTGTATGTAACCTTGCCTTCTTCTTCTCTCATAGCCATAGGGTTTTGATTTTCGTTTAATCCGTTAATTCTTTTGCTATATGTGTCCTCGATCTGCTTCTAGGTTTAGCGTTCCAGAGGGAGCTCCATTCACTGCTGTTCTTAAATATGCAGCGGAAGAATTCAAAGTCCCTCCCCAAACTAGCGCCATCATCACAAATGGTAACCCAATTTTCGTTTAATATATCATGCCCTAATGTTGTCGCAATTGATTCTTTCTAGTTCATCCTGCTGTTGCTTAATGCTTATGCATTCTATGAGTTTTTAAACATATACTCCTATTCTTGCCATTTCCTACTTAAACACGATCAATACTCTGATCAATAATTAGAGACCACAAATTGGTGAGACTTTAAGAGAATTCCTTATGATTGCTTCTCCACAATTTGCCACACAATTAGGCGAATAATGAATTTGAAGAAGGTGAATTAGGAGTCATCTCAAGAATTAAACAACCTTAAAACCCTAAAAACATTCAAAACTTTGCACATTTTCTATTACCAACAACAAAGTTGCATAAAAATTGGTAGTAGTATGCTAAATCCATTTTCTGTATTCATTTTGCAGATGGTGTTGGAATCAATCCTCAACAAAGTGCAGGTATGCTAGCATTTATGTTAATGATTATGATTATGTTATGATGATGGTGTTAAATAATAATGTGATGATGGTTTTGGTTTTGGCAGGCAATGTGTTCTTGAAACATGGCTCAGAACTTCGCCTGATTCCTCGTGATAGGGTTGGAGCTGCTTAGATCTTTATTGACCAATAATTTTGTGTTATGTTTTGTTTGTAAAAAAAGGCTTAAAATTTCAGAGGTTGATAGCCATGAATATGATGATGATGCTTTGAAGAACAATGAATGAAAATATCAATAAGTACTGCTAATACACAACTTGATCTTCCTTTTATGACGGGTTTAACGCATGCTTATGAAATCATATTTTATTTTTTCTAGATAAAACTGCAGAAATGGTAAGGTCTAAAAAAAAGTTTATTAGCAAAAAAGGTCCAAAAAAAACTTCATTAGCAAAAAGGTCCCTATTTGGTGGGTTTTGTTGTGGTTTTGATCTTTTAAGTTTAACAGTTTGGCTGTTAATTTTTTGAAAATGACGGTTTTACCTTTAGGGACCATTTCTAGAGTTGTATCTTTTACCAAAATACAAGGATTATTTTTGTAATTTTTCTTTTTAATTTTATTGAATTAATATAATTATTTTTTTTTAATTTCTTTTTATTGGATTGTTTTTTGTTAGATTATTATATATTAATAAATATTATTTTAATATATTATATTTATATATTAATAAATGTTACATTATATTAGATTATTAATTTTTTTAATTTCTTCTTTATTGAATTAATTTTTTTATTGGATTATTATATAATCATAAATATTATTTCTAATATATAATATTTATATATTAATAATATTACTTTATTGGATTATTAGTTTCTTTTAATTAATTCTTTTATTAAATTTTTATTGGATTAAATCATTTTTATTGGATTATTACTTTTAATTTATTATTTTTATACATAATAAATATTATCGGTTCCAATACAAAGTCGTCAAAATACGCAAAAACACCGTCTACTATTGTCGAAAATCGTCGGGACAACCACCAACCACCTTCATCGATGCTACGACGAAAACCCCACTAACTAATTCCACCCAACGCCGCCGGTAGCCACCTGTAACAAACTCTTCCCAATTCACCAAAATTTTCCATATCTGCTACTAAGCTGACCATAATCTGCTACAACCACCACCATTTGAACCACCAGGAGGTCCGATCCAAACACTCATTTTCAGTTCCACTCTTAGAAGCCTTCTACCAACCTTGTGTCGTATCATCTCGCTAGAAATCGCCGATCATCGCCTAATGTCGGGCATTCTCGATTAAAACTACACATGTCGACTACCCACATAATGCACAACAAACCCCGAAAAACAAACAACCTTCAGTCGACCAATCGTTACCGACATCGCAATTGATGGCGATAATGTTAAATCGAGGGTTTTCAAACCACCAGAGAATTGCCGCAGGTGGTGGCAAGGGTATAGAACAACCGACTGTCGAGTAGCGAGTACTCGGGGAGCACTCAGAGTTGGTAATTCATGTAGAAGTATTTTTAGGGAAATTATATGTCAAAATCTTAAGTTTATTGGAAAATATATAACAAAATTAGATACATGTGGATACATAAAAACTAAAATACACACGATGATCTCACTTCGTAAATAATTACTGAAAATTTAAGATATATATATGCAGTAACAGGGGTTGGAGACGGTCCGACAGTGGTGGTGGTGGTGACTGAGTGATGGTGGCGGTGTTATCAAAAATATGTTATCTTTTGAATAATTAAAATAAATTAAGAGAGGTGGGGTGTGTGAGATTTTTCATGATTTTTATTTAAATTAACAAAGAAAGCAATTAAAAGAAAACAAAAAAATTAAAAAAGAATTAAATAAAAAAATCATAATCTAATAAAATAAAATTTATAGTTATATAAATATTATATATTAAAAATAATATTTATTAGTATATAATAACCCAATAAAAAAGAAATTAAAAGAAAATAATTAAAAAATTAATAATCCGATAAAGTGATATTTATTAATATATAAATATAATATATTAAAAATAATATTATTAATATATAATTATCCAATAAAAAATAATAGATTAAGAAAGAAATTAAAAAAATAATTAAAAGAATTAATGTATAATACTTTAATAAAATAAATTTTTTTTGTAGAAATGGTCATTGTAGTTTGATAAAAAGATACAACTGTAGAAATGATCCCTAAACGTAAAACTGTCATTTTCAAAAAGTTAACAAACTGTTAAACTTAACAAGAAAGGGACCAAAATCACATCTTAACTATCAAATAGGAACATTTTGCTAATAATTTTTTTTGGATCTTACCCAAAGAAATTGACAAACCACATGGATCATTTCTGCAATTTTGTCTCTATCGGTTTGTGCAATAAAGTGGTTTTTGATAGACGTTTCATGTTGAATGCATGTTTATAAAATTATATTTTATAAAAGTTTGAAACAATGTTACATAAATTGGCATGTAAGTTGAAACATTAACATGTTAATGTGTTATCTCTATAATATTATATCGTTTGGGTTTACAATAAAACATCTTTACATATTTTGTATAAAGAAACAACTTTGTTGCATAAAGGGAGAAAAAAAAGGTGAAATATTATCACATAAATGTCCATCTATAAACACCAACCAACATATGATAAACCATGATTTAAATTCCACTAAGTTTATTGTATTTTACAAGAATAAGTATTTGTACCTGAAAACCTTACTTATGGATTCTCACATCTTTTTCTTTTTTATACTGTATAATAATAATAATAATAATAATAATAATAAGGGCATGAATGAATGTACAAATATCTTTCTTGTGTTCTATGCAACGGGTTGCGCCATGAAAGGCTTGAAGGTTAAAACCAGCCCGACAAACTGAAGGATGTTCAATGCAAAGAATACCAGTTGATCACCTAATAAATACATCCATGTAATGAATTATTATTGGTAATCAAATTGACCCATTTTCACATACGAGATTATTAATTAGCATCAAGATGAAGAGGATATTTCATATTTCATATTTCATATTTCATATTTCATACCTGGGAGTATGGCAGCAACTTGACGTTTTTGTGCAAAAGAAAAGCTGAAAATGATAGAGAATTAATACTTTACTTTCATTTCTTCAAATTATAATTTTGCTACAAATACAATTGGGTAGATTTTTCAAAGTATAATATGATTTAATGAATGTATTGGTTAAAGAATATAACTTGACTTACAGTGCTCCTGCGCCAGCTGGACCAAATGCTTTAGAGACAGACATGGCTGTCATTGAAATGCCATTAGCAGCTCCTCGCTCATGTTGGGCCTTTATTTATTTATCATTAACACAATTCATTTCATACAAAAAAAAAAAAAAAACAAAAATCCCACCATGTTTATCCATTTAACTATTCTCTATGGTGTCATTAATCCATTATACTTTTCAACATCAAACTACTTAAAAAAAGCACATACCACTTTCACCATTTAATTGATTTTGCCACTCAACTATTATTATAAAAATAATCATAAAAGATATTTTGTCCTTTTTTAAAACCGCGAATTTCTTTTTAAGCTGTCAAGAACTGAAGAAAGCATACTGGCTTAATCACTACAGAAAACAGTCAAATGGCTAAATCAATAAACGTTGTGCTTTTAAAAAAAATTATAATCATTTTTTTTTATGGAGAAGTGATAGGACTTACAACAGATTTATTTAACAAAATGAATAACCCAGTCACCAGCGACACCTGGACAACCGCATATATCAAGATTAACTGATATTAAAAAATATATATATATATATATATATATATATAGAGAGAGAGAGAGAGAGAATAATAATATCTACTTACTGATAAAAAATTCCTTATTAGTGATGCACAATTGACAGCTAGAAGAAGAGAAAACCCTGAAAGCGTTGCTATGTATGGATAAGTTGATAAAATAGGTATTGATATAACCTGAAGCAAAGAAAACAATGGTTAATAATAATTATGTACACAAAAAGACGAGAATGCCCTCCTCATTCTCAATATCAAAGTACTACTTACAGCTGAAAGGCGTGTGACAGTGAGTGGGCCCAGAAGTTTCTCGATTAATGGATATAGTAGAAGCTGGAACAATAAAAGCCCAAAACCTGAATAAATACAATAGAAAATATGTTATTCTTTCAACAACCCCATGAAAAATATTTATTAAAAATCCAAAATAATAAATGTACCTGAAATAGCAAGAATCTCACCAACATCTTGAGATGAAAAACTAAGCCCTCCATAACTTTTGTCACTAACTGCCCACAAAGAAAATATCTGTGAAAGTAAAACAACATTAATTTAGAATTTGAGGAGATTGTGATTTTTGGCAATTAATAAGTAAAACTGTATTTTTTTTATTTACCTCTGTATAAGCTATTTCCTGAAGTGAAAACACACAATACACAATGATTGTAGACATTAATGCCCAATTTTTCAACAAAGCAAATGAAGACATCTTTTCTGCTTTGACCTCATTTTGACCAAGTAAACTTTCAGAAGCTTCTACTTCTGATGCATTGCCATGTTTGTGCAGTGTTTCCTTCAAAAAAATTTGCAAATCAAGATTATTAAAACATGCAATGCAATATGGGGTTGGGGTTTAATTGTATTCTCTTTCCAAATGTATTAAACATACTTACAGGAAGCCACCAGCTAGAAATAAATACAGCCAATGAGTAGATGGATATAATAAGACATGGTAAAAAGTATGGAAACCTGCAGCATGTAATGATATAGTAGAAATGAAAAATAAAAAAAAGCAAAACTTTCAAAGAATGTATTACCTTCCAAACAAAGAATTTTCAGAAAAAAACTGTGGGTATTTCTCAGCAGGCTGATGTGAATACAAAAGAAACACAGTAAGAATCTTAAACTATTCACAATTTTATTTTATAAATCCATAAATTGCACCTGTGCAAAGAAACCTCCAATAGCAGGACCAATAATTAAGCCAATTCCTCGAGAAGTACTCACCTGAAATTATAACTTCTCAAGTAAATATGATAATATAAATACAAGAAATACAAAGAAACATAGTAAACATCTTACAATTGATAATGCCAAAGCTTGGTACTCCTCATGGCAGACTTCAGAAGCATATGTCTATAACAGATTTCAATAAACAGCAAAATTAACTAACTATATTTTTCTTTATCTATGTCCTTTTTTTAGTTTTTATATCCAAACCCCATAAATAGATGCATATATATGTATATAAGGTATTATACCCGTATTGTTCCTAGTAGACTGTTAAAACATCCAAGGAGAAACCTTGAAGAAATTGCCATCCAGAAGGATGAACTGAGTCCAAACATCGTGTTGAAAATGAACCTGAATCCATATGTCAAAAGAAACAATGAAATGCAAGAAATAACAAAAAACTTCTATTCTTGTGTTTATTATAACATCCCACTTTCATTTCTTCCTAATGTACTTTCAAAAATATACCTAATTATAACAATGTCATCCAAATACAAAACAACTTCCTTTGTTATAATTTTCCAAATACAATGTCTTGATAAGAAAAAAAATATAAGGAGGATTGATAAATGAGAGTACTATATCTTGCATTTAGGCCATTAAGTTTTAAAATTGTTATAGTTAAAAACATATGATATCACTGCTTACACTGAAAATGTGCCAATTAGTATTATAGGCTTTCTCCCATATCTATCAGCAAGCACTCCCCAAAACAGAGAAGTCAAGGCTCTTCCAATCATGAATGAAGAACCTACAAAAAGATATCAAAGATATCAAACAATCTCCACGTTTATATCATTCAAAAAGAGTAGTTCATGGGACTGCACAAGCTTTCTAGGGTTATTTTCGATGATGATAATGAGGATTGAGGAGGGCATTTAGGTCTTTTGTACATACAAGAGATCTATGGGTTGAGTGGGACAAAAATTTGTCCCATTGACATCACTCATAGCATCTTGTCATGCCTAAAAAGGGTTCTCTAGATAGCTTACCCACAAATCCAGCATAGTAACCAATATCTTCCTCTTGACTTGCAATATTAAAGTCTCTAATCTGCAGAAGATATCATATACATATAGTCAAGTTATCAGTCAACAAGAACTTACTGAAAAATATGATTTTACTAAGAAATTAGAATATTGCACTTGCATACCATGAAGTAAATGAACGGGTAGAGAGAAGAAATTGGCAGAGCTGAAAAACAAACCAATATAACGAGCTCTTAGCATCATATCCTCAGCAAGAGAATCTAAAATTTTAACTTAAAATCCCCCGAAAAAAATGTTGATATCATTCGATTGAGATATATGGAAGTTCCACGAATCATTTACACCCAAAACCAACAGAATTTGCAGTATATGGATAACAGAGAGAAAAAATCAATGAAGCGACTGAATTTGGTGTAACTAAAATCATGAATTGATAAAAGAGAAAACAAGTACCGGTGCAGAGGGAAACGAGCCAGATATAAGAAAGGTGTGCATAGGGCAACCCAGTTCGTTCCTCTTTAAGACGGTCGATTTTGCAGCCGGGGCAATTGTGAAACCTTAATTTGGCATCCTTCTCTTTGTTCTTCGACGACAAATGAGTGCTGTTAGTGGCCGTATCTTCCATTGCAAAAGCTTCCGAGTGGCTGACACTGTTTTACGGTTGCAAAATAGGGGTTCTGGGTAGTCCACCGCAGCCATGGACTCATGGAGTTTGATCAAACTCGCCTGTTTTCCAATTGGATGGAATAGGACAAAAAGAATGAATAGACAGCCCGCGTATTCTTGCTTAATTGATTTTCATAAATAAGTGTAAAATCCTGTGTACGTTGATTAAAAAAGAGATGTACACTGGTCGATTAAAAAAGAGATGGACAGGGTTGATTAAAAAAGAGAGTATAATATTAAAATGTAAATAATAAATATTTTTTAGACAAAATTTCACAATTGGTTCATGTAGTTTACAAAATATCGTACTTTGAGGACTTCCTAGCAAAAAGTTACGCCACTGGTCCTTATGGTTTCAGTTCATTGCGCGATTGGTCCTTGACCCTAACCCCGTCACTTTTGTGCCGTTAGTGCAGGGGTGTTTTTGTCTTTTCATTTAGCAATCACTGTAATAGGATTAGGGTTAGGGTTTTTGAAGCTGTTAAAGGAGATGAAAGTACCGATCGATCTACAAGAGAGAAAGAGAGAGAGAGGGAGATGAAGAAGGGTAACAAAGTTATGTTCGATTTGCAGTTCTGATTTGTAGGTTCCGAAGAAGCATCGTTCGTAATCTCTTTATTCTCCTGCGATTCTTGGGTTCCGATTTTTAGGGTGTCATCAAATCTTTGGGGGAGGAAACGGGTGGGACGGGTTCAGTGGGGATCACGTTCCTCATAATGGTGAAAGTAGCTCTCTTTTTCCTTCCGACACAAACGCACCACCACCTGAAAGCCCTCTTGTCTCCAACACCATCTCCAATTTACACTAGAAACGATGTACATATCTTCTAGTCAAACACGCATCATCACACCCTTCCCCTTCAGCCACCACTCCCGTTTCCGCAAGAACATATAACGAACAACAGAAATCACAGGTAAGATCGATCATATTCCCGAAAAATATAGATTCAAAATTGAAATGAAGCCCCTTAGGTTTATTGGGCTAGTTTTTAACTTTGGGCTTTAGGGTTTACAATCATACATTGATAAAATTGTGTGCAGATTGGGGCGATTCAAGCTTCGGTTTCAAGGTCGCTCTCGCGAAACATTGTTATCATAAGATCATTTCTTTTGCAGCACGTAAGATAATGATCAAGTCGAGAGTGCTAATGGTACGTTTTTTATTATATACACTTGCGATTTGATTTTCATATTCCAATTTTGTGGAAACGATTTTGTTTCAAATGAAGATCAAATCAGTTCAGTTGAAGTGGAGAACGATGAAGAGATTGACGAGGAAGAAGCGATTTGCAGAATCTGCTTTGATTCATGCGATGAAGGTAATCAGTTGAAGATGGAATGCAGCTGCAAAGGTGCGCTTAGACTTGTTCATGAAGAATGTGCAGTTAAATGGTTTAGTGTTAAAAGGAACAAAAACTATGATGTTTGTGGTCGTAAAGTCTCAAATTTACCAGTAACTTTGCTTTGTATGCCAAGTTATGTTCAAAGACAAACCATGAATATGAATCCACAAGATCAACATCTGAATTCAGGAACAATAAGGTAGCTTGATTAATTTTTCAAATTTTAATGGAAAATTTAGAATTCCTGAATTCTTACATGTTTGTTTATTTAGTGCATGGCAGGATTTTGTGGTGCTAGTTTTGATAAATGAAAAGACAAAAATACCCCTGCACTAACGGTACAAAAGTGACGGGGTTAGGGTTAAGGACCAATCGCGCAATGAACTGAAACCATAAGGACCAGTGGCGTGACTTTTTGCTAGGAAGTCCTCAAAGTGCGATATATTGTGTAAACCACAGGGACCAATTGTGAAATTTTGTCTATTTTTTAAAATAATATCTATGACGTTCAAAATTTTACATATATATGTATATAAATACTATATGACTTTTTAATTTTAAAAATTGAAAAACTTAAGAATTGATATGTGAATATTATTTATTTCAAAAATATCATAAAATGACAAGTGTCAAAACTCATAAGAGATTGACATGTGACAAAATGAATATTCATTGATTATAGTTGATAGTTAGAAACTCTTATTTTTAATCTTTTAATTGCATCCACTAGTCCAATAGAATTTGTCAATATTAACCATTTTCTAATCTAATTATTCAAAAACAATCGAGAAATTAAGTAATCTTTGGAGTGTTTTTTTAATATTAACCACAACTTTTTTTAACTAACCATTTTCTCTAGAATTGACCATTCCGGAGCATGCCAAAATGGTTCAAGCTCAATGCTGTAACCCAAAGTTATATACACGGGCACACATTAAAATCAGAATCAACATTTCGGATGCTATGATATTCCGAATTTGTTGCTACCAAAATTCCAAATATTTTTAAGCGTTTTCTATCATAGATTCAACAAACCAAGTTAGTTGTACTGTTTAACTACTTGCATTTTAGATTACAAACGATTTTCTGTATTTCGAAATGCGTAAAGCAATTCCAAAATACGAGTAGCAACTCTAGAATGTGATAACTTTTTTTAACCATTATGACCATATAAATACCTTAAAATCTATTACTACCACTCCTTATTTAAATCAAATAAGTGTAGATTACCCATTAAAAGTTATTCTGGAATGGTACTTTCAGTTAGGGGTGCAAACGAGTCAAACTACTCGTGAGCTACTCGGGATCGGCTAGTTATCCCTTAAGGGGTGCAAAACATGACATGGACTTAACCATTCAACAATTGATCTCTAAAGTTCTTAGTCTATCAACTCCAGAAGAGTTTTATAGACATGCATGTCTTGAACTCATATTAGGTCAAAATAAGGATTATGACCAAAAATCTCATGCATGGATTAAAATCCAACCATACTTCAGATTCAAACCATCAACCACTCCAAATGTCCTAGAGATTCATAAAGTTGCAAACTTTGTGGGACATCGCCATCCCAACTAATAATAAGAAGAAGAAGAATATGTGAGAAAACTAAAGATCTAGCAACCTAAAAACATAAAGGTGGAGTCTTGGACACTTATAGAGGTACAGAAGTGTGCTAGGATGAGGAATGGAAACAAATCTTGGCTCACTTCTTCTTCCTTCTTCCTACAAGGTCTTCCAAAAGCACCAAAATGAGCTTCAACAATGGAGGAAAGGGATTAGGGTTTCTTCAGATCTTAGGAGGGTGATGGAGGCTGAAGATGCATATACCCTAGCCTCCTCATTCCTTTAAATAGGTTGAAAACCCGAAAAATTAGGGTTTAAGCCACCAGGTGGCAGCCACGCCATGGCAGATTAAATGAAGTCTATGTCCAAAAGTGCCTCGCCATATCGTGGTGGTGCCTCCACCACGTCGTGGCAACTCCAAACATCTAAACTTAAATAAATAAAATGTACCTCAGGATTTAGATGTTACACATAATGGGTGTCCGTAATGTGTATTCAGAATGTTATGCCCAAAATCTATGTCATGGAGTGTGTGTAATGTTGTTGTACAACTGATATGGTAGTCTAAAATATGTGTATTGGATTGTGTGCAATGTTCATGACCCAATATAAAAAAAAGTGACATTCAATTTACTTATAAAACTCCAAAATGGCAACAAATCAACCGCTACCATGGACTTCAGAAATAGTGATCACGCTCGTTCGGTCTTGGATACTCATTAAGGAAGATATTTGTGTCACCAGTCTCCCATATTTGATGTATGGATCACTTTGGTCCCGCTTGAAAAATATATTTCTGTTATCTCATAAAGAGTATTAAACAAAATAAGTCAAGAGTAAATTTAAAGATATAAGATCAAAGGTGAAGATGTTTAACAAAATTTATCACAAGATCAACAACGAATTATTAAATGGAGATGAAGAAGTAATTTTGAAGGTAGCTAGCCTGCAATATAGAAACATAAATAACAATGTTGATTTTCCATACGAACATGCTTGGATTATTTTAAAAGATGTCTCATATTTTTGAAGATCTTTATGCCTAAGAGTCATTATAGAATGATATTTCTAATGACATATGATCCTATAGGGTCACATATTATAACAAGTTACTACTAATTGATTATTTATTAGTATAATTTGATTATTAATAAATATTATCAATGTTTGTATTTAAATGGAAAAACATTATTTTATGAAAATAATATTTTACCAACATATTGAAAATTATTGTTTCTAGGAAATAATAATAATAAGAGAACAAAAACTTGTTATATTTATATGGTATGAATAGATATAAGTTATGTACATTTATTTTGGACTTATTGAAGTTTATTAATAAATAATTAGCACATGTAACTATCTAGTTGTAAGAATGAATTGGAAGACGAACTTGGTTTTGATTTCCTTACCAAAAACCGTAGGTCCCTCTCTTTAAGAGAGTGGTTGCTTGTTGGCTCATGTATTACACACCCATGCCTAATGACATTGCTTGTTTTAACTTTATAAAAGGTATGACTCATAGGTACATATATCTATGTATATAAGAAATGGTTATGTGAAAAGCTAATGAGTTTTTTTACCACTTTTTTCTTCCTCTTTTTGCTGCCAAAACCGAGAGCACTTAGGTGCTCTCCCTTTTCCCCCATTTGCCTTGTATATTATAAAGTTTAAGGTCGTAGTTGCTTCTCCTTTGAAGGTATATTTGGTATATATTTCTAAGGCTTAAGAACAACTAACATACAAGTGAAGAATAACATCTTGAAGTGGTATTTCCTTGCTTGGTGGATACATTATAAAGAATTTTTTCTTTGAAGTTTAATGCATCACTTCATTAACTTCCATCTCCCATAAGAATCAAAGTCTTCAAATGTTGTAACATTTTCCTTTCTATGATTGTTTTAAACTTTCATAGCTTTGCAAAATGATCCTTGGTGGGTAAAATGTTTTTAGTTTATTCAATCATAAAATTGCTTTTGTTGTTAAACTTGTAGTTTTGACTATTTTTTGAATAAAATCCAATAATTGGTATCAGAGCATTTTTCAAGCTTGGTTAGATTATTTGATAATTTGTTATTATCTTTGTTTTCGGAAAACATGAATGATTTTCTTTTTGTAAGAAATCATAAATATTTTCTATGACAACTTTATAATTGTTATTTTTTAATGACAAAAGTTTTTATATATTTTTGTCACCAAAATTGTCTTAGAAAAACAAAATGTTTTTTTTTTATATATTTTTTGTCACCAAAACTGAGATCAACATTATGGGATTGTGATATTCCAAATTTGTTGCTACCAAAAGTTTGAAGATTTTTAAGTCTTTTCTACTATGGATTCAACAAACTAAGTTACTTGTATTGTTTAATTTACTTGAATTTTAGTTTACAAACGATTTTTCGTATTATAGAACAATTCTATAATACGACCACATAAATACATTTAAATATGTTACCACTACTCCTTAGTTAAACGAAATAAGTGTAGATTATCCATTAAAAGTGATTCCGAAATGGACCAATACCCCGTATTAGTCCAAATAAGAACCATTTCATTTGAAGATCAATTTGTTTGGATGTTAAAGAAAATGGGTTTTAGGGACGATTTTTTTTTTACCTTCTACAATAGCTCTGAGAATTGGGTCTGGTAATGGTAAACCTTAATTAAAAATAAATTTGTTATATATATATATATATATATATATATATATATATATATATATTTGTTTTTATGGTAATATATTTAGATATTAAAGTTTGTTGGATTGTTTTTACAGATAAAAAAGTAGATGTTGAAATAGAAAAAAAAATCAAACACTAAACCACCAATGACACCCATAAAATTAAGAGCAAAATCAGAGAGAGTATTAAAACTTAAATTGAAAGCAAATAGAACTTTAAAAGACGGGGCCAGATCAAGTTAGACAAACCTGTTATTTTAGACTAGTTGACATTTATAATTTTTTATGGATACGTTTTTGTTGTCACATGCTCTACAGGGGGTTTGGATGCTTGATGATGCAACTGCCTTGGGAGCTTTCCTGAGAACACAATCACAGAAGAACCGTTAGAGGACGACCAAGTGCTCTAACTAGGAGAATTATGCCCACGTTAACTAACTGCCTGGTGACGTCAGTTCTGGGCGCCACCAAGGCTTATTGTCACGTCCTGATTGGTCGTGAGTGAATGAGAAGATCACGGGGAATATTCGTCCCTCGTGGAGGGAAGCGAACTGTTGCCCCGATGCTGGATTACTTGGGCCAAGGCCGGGCCTTGGCCAAGGTTCTGACGAGATAACGTCTCGTTTGTACTTCCGTTACATTTAACGTGACCGTTCATGGTAACGTTAACAAGTCCCTTAGGCTAGTAGACTCTTGCGTTCGTGACACATAGGAGTTGTTCTGGTATACTCACAGACACGTGGTGGGTTGCTACTAGCAGCTTGTGCAGTTGGCAGGGCGAAATCGCCGTTATTCGGCGGTTTCATCATGAAAACGGTTCGCTGCCCCATTCATGGCATTAAAACCCCAGTTCCTCCTAGCGTTTCCTCATTACCCTCTACTTGTTTCTCTTTGCCTTGTTGTTCTTGAGAAAAACCCTTTCAACCCTTTCTTCATATTTTTCCATGGCTACCACTCAT